CATGTAATTTATCTTGGACGTAATTAGATCTCAATATACTTATTGAGATATATAGAATCAACGCATAACAACTATTCAGATATTAATTGTTTTACTGCTTAGCATTTATTATTAAGACAGAATTATTCTTCCTGTTTTAGTTACTAACTATAGGAAATGGGCAAACAGAAAAGCAATCGATGGGAAATGTTCTATAATTATACCTTTTCAATCATTATGATTTTTTTCTTCATGTGATCGATTATATAATGACGTTTTAGACGTCTCAGACTTCATTGTTTTTTCGTTTCCACACCAAGCATTCTTTATTCTAGTTCTCTTGATCTTCTTAACTTTCTGTCGCCAGACATTTCACTTCCACATGTAAAACAGAACTCGCGTTAATTGTATCACGTTAAGCTAAATTCAATTTTTTTTATGTCCTATTGTAGTGAGTGCTACTGATGTCGACAGATATAAGCAGTATTTACTATCAACAGAAAGTGAAATGTCTGGAGGTAGAAGGTTAAGAAGACTGAAGAAAAGAGAATGATAACAAAGAATGATTGATACGGAAACGAAAGAACAACAAAGTCTGAGATGATTGACTGATATTTGCAAGAGGAACTGTCAAGTTTGAGACAAATTGGTTAACATTTTGCAAACTAAGTATTTATTGAATGGTTTTAAGTCTAAGAATAAGATGTGGGAAATTCTCTGTGAAGAGTTGACCGCTCATCGAATACAACAGATTTATATTTGATATCAGTTATTTTGTAAGTCCTATTGTGCTCATTAAAGATACAATTGTGTCTATAGTGAATAATAACTGTGACAATTGAAAATGCGTAATATGAAATGATTCACTAATCAGTTTATCCACTAATCACTTACAAACCTGAGTCTGTTACCCCCAATGGAGCATAGGCCGCCGACCAGCATTCTCCAACCTACTCTGTCCCGGGCATTCTTTTATAGTTCTATCCAACTTTTCTTCATTTTTCTCCGTTTTTCGGAGTAATGTGTTTTTGGTCTTCATCTTCTTTAGTCTTGAGGATTCCATGTGAGTGCTTGCATCGTGACACAGTTGGATGATTTCGTCAATGTGTGTCTTATCCACTTCCAGTGGTTCTTCCTGATTTCTTCCTCCACTGGATGGAATCTGGTTTGTTGTCTCCCACAATGTATTGTTGTTGATAGTGTCTGGCCAACGGATCCGAAGTATCTTGTGTAGACAACTGTTAATAAACACCTGTATCTTCTGGATGATGGCTTTCGTAGTTCTCCAAATTTCCGCCCCATACAGAAGAACTGTCTTCACATTTGTATTGAACATTCTGATCTTGGTGTTGGTTGACAATTGCTTTGAGTTCAAGATGTTCTTCAGTTGAAGCTATGATGCTAGTCGAGTTCCTTCAGTGGTCATGACGCTAATGCTCCTTCTGACAACCAGAGCAACCACTGATTTAGGTACATGGAATGTTCGTACAGTGTGGGAGACCGGGAGACTTCAAAATTACAAAGAAATGAAAAGATACAACCGGGCGGTGCTTGGAATCAGTGAAACACATTGGACGCAGGTTGGACAACAACGACTATCTTCAGGAGAACTTCTGTTATACTCCGGTCATGAAGAAGAAAATGCCCCACATACACAAGGAGTGGCATCGATGCTTTCCAAACAAGCACAAAATTCACTTATAAGATGGGAATCTCATGAACCAAGGATCATCAAAGCCTCATTCAAAACAAAGAGAGAGGACATTACAATGAACGTCATCCAATGCTATGCACCTGCCAACGACTGTAATGAAGACATTAAAGACCAATTACACGATAGACTGCAGTCAATCGTCGACAAGTGCCCAACAAAAGAACTGACCATTCTGATAGTAGATTTCAATGCCAAGGTTGGAATGGACAACACCGAATAAGAAGACATCATGGGACGACATGGACTGAGAGAAAAGAACGAAAATGGTGAGAGATTTGCAAACCTTTGTGTCTTCAATGAACTGGTCATAGGCGGCACCATATTCCCGGATCACAATACACAGAACCAAATTGACCATATCTTCATCAACAAAAAGTTCAGGAGGATGATGGAGGATGTGAGAACCAGGAGAGGACCTGATATAGCATCCGATCATCACTTGCTGATCTCCAAGATGAAACTGAAAATTAAGAAGCTCTGGATAACAGGGCGGACAACACAAAAGTTTATTACGGCCTATCTTCGAGATGCTGACGGATTCAATAAATCCGAGATAGCACTCAGCAACAGGTTCGAGGCCTTTCATGATCTACTCAATGGAGAGGGGAACTACCACGAAGAACAACTGGAAATGAATCAAGGAGGCAATCACTTCAACATGTTATGAGGTTCTGGACAACAAGAAGCACCATCACAACGAATAGATCACTGTTGCTACTTCAAAGAAGGAGGAACAAGAGACAAGAACAGAGAAAGCCAAGGCACAAGCCAAATACACAGAAATAAACAAGTAAGTGAAGAGGAGAATCAGAACCGACAAACGTAACTATGTAGAAGATTTAGCAATGACAGCGGAAAAGGCTGCAAGAGAAGGAAACATCAGACAACTGTACGACACAACTAAGAAGCTCTCTGGAAATGATCGTAAAACAGAACGAACAGTGAAAAGCAAGGAAGGCAAGGTAATCACCATCATTGAAGAACAACGAGACAGGTGGGTAGAACACTTCGGAGAACTCTGGAATCGACCAGCCCCACTGAACCCACCCAACATCGAAGTAGCACCCACGGACCTTCAAATTAATGTTGGCCCACCAACAATCGAATAGATCAGCATGGCCATCAGATAAATCAAGAGCGGCAAAGCAGCGGGACCAGATAACATACCAGCAGAGCCACTGAAAGCAGATGTATCAGCAACTGCAAAGATACCCCACATTCTCTTCAGTAAGATTCGGGTTGAAGAACAAGTACCAACAGACTGGAAAGAAGGACACCTGATCAAGATACCAAAGAAAGGCGATCTCAACAAGTGTGAGAATTACAGAAGCATCACTCTTCTCTCACTACCAGGAAAGGTTTTCAACAGGGTATTGTTAAACAGAATAAAAGAACCCCGTAGACGCCAAATTTCGAGACCATCAGGCTGGATTCCGTAAGGATTGATCGTGTACAGACCAAATCACAACTCTACGTATCATTGTGGACCAATCACTTGAATGAAATTGACCACTCTACATCAACTTCATTGACTGTGAGAAAGCATTTGATAGAGTGGACAGGATAACACTATGGAGGCTTCTTCGACACTACGACGGGCCTGAGAAGATAGTCAATATCATACGGTATTCCTATGATGGATTAAACTGTAAAATCGTGCATGGAGGGCAGTCGGCAGACTTGTTCGAAGTAAATTTAACTGGATCCTTAAAAAAAACTATCTATGATTTCAAATAACTTGAAATATAATTTGTTAATCATTAATTAGTATTTTAATGCAGTTCGCAAAAGGTTGTCATTTTAATTGGCATAACCGCCCAATAGTAGTAAGGGTTGATTTCAGAAAAAATCAGTACAGTTCGTCTCAATGTTATGTGTCTGTGTTAAGGAATCTTTAGGAACCATAGAACATAAGCTCCTCTAGTTGATATATCACCAAGGATCATGTAGTACCTTTGGGAAGACATTAAATGTCTCACAATCAAAAATTTAATCCCTCTACGATGATGATGAGATAAACATGAAACTAATTACTACAAAATAAATAATCAGGTCAGGTGCTCTTAGAATGGCTTAATGATAACGTTTCCGATCACTGAACTAAATGACACAGGTTGTAATTTCATATAAAACATTAATTTTCTGAAGAATAAAAATGAGTGTTACAAACGAATGTTACTTATCAAGGAACCTACCTAGATCTAGGATTTTCAGTTAACTAATTTCAACTATCTAACAACTGAAAACATAGTAAGTAGAGATACATAGTGGCTAGCGGTGGAATCCAGGACGTGCATTTCATCCTACTCCGGACTCGTCAGCTGGATGTACCTGAATCTCAGAGTTGATGTCCACTCCGGGACTCGAACCCATTACCATCGCGTTATCCACTTGGCCACTGAGTCCTGATAGCCACTTGTTTGTGCAATGGGGTGAAGTTCATTTAGTATTGTTTGTTTGAATCTTCTCATCGATGTGTTAGGACTGCAACTGGTCAGTATCTAATTGGCATATATGCATACTGTGTGTATTGCCTCGATATAGCCTTAATTCACAAGCATTGTAAGCAGAGATGGATATTGGCTAGCAGAGAAATCCAGGACGGGCGTTTCGTCCTATTTTAGAGACTGAACAGTTGCAGTTCTAACATATCGATGGGAAGATTCAAACAAACAATACTAAATGAATTTAAACTTAAAACATAGTTCCTTTGATGTTAAATCACAGACTACTAGGCACATCAACTTTAGATCAAAAGAGTTTAATCAACACTAATGTTTAGGCAAGTATAAAAATGGATAATCTATCCAAGGTATATTTAAAACCATTTAAACTATCACCGTAAAAAGTTCTTATCATCTATTTCATATTACAAATTATTGCATATCAGTTTCTAATACATTTTAAAAACTATAATACATGATTCATAATTCAATCTAAAAACGTGTATTCCAGTTCATTGGATGAATTAAAAACCAAACCCATTAAACATTCAAAGTATGTATGATCATATGGAAGCACGGAGTTTGGTTTTATCAATCTAACTATCATTTTCATTCTAATGCTTGACACCTTGAATTAGATAATATGGACATGTACAATACATTGTATAACCCTAGATATGTATAAAAATAAATCTCTTATTCTACATTAAATAAGGATTTACGTGAGTAGGTATGATTAGTTAATATTGTACGTTTTGTTTTCTTTAATTCAAAATAGAATACAATGATAATTTTTTTGATTGGTCAATTCATTTCTGCACACAAATATGAGTACTACTACTACTACTACTACTACTACTACTACACGTATTTAATGGGCGTTAAATTACAATTTACAACTTTCACAAGTACTACACATAGTATAACCAAATTGAGTTTCTTTCGTAATAAAAATTAAAAAAAATCAAAGACAAGGCATTGAAATCAAATGTTTGATAATTAATGTCACATACACTTATTCACACACACACACACACACCATACATTGACCTTTCTTCAAATGCTTGCCAAATGAAATTGTCAACAAGGTATTCAGTGAATGACAACGATTATTAATATCATTATTGTTGATTATATATGAATATGTAATTATTCTTAGATTTATTCAGTAAGTATATATACTTTTGAGGTGTTATATTTCTTGACAGAGTCAGTTGGAGCTAGACCACTATCGAGAACCTGGAAGCACTGGATGGCCATTTCGTCCTACTATGGGACTCCACAGCAGCGCGCATCTAGCTTCAATTGACTCATGATTACAACTATGAAAATACTAAATTCTAATCAATTGATTTTTCTTTATTTTTATTTTACATTTTTCTTTGAATGCTCTGCTAACCAGCATAATACTCATATAAACCCAATATAATAATCGATAATGATAAATATGGGATAAAAAGATGATTATCTCATTTCTATTGTACTATGGAATTATAAGATTGTAATTTGTATAGATAAATATATATCATTGAAATTATGATATTATATCCTTGAGTTATATATTTCCCAATCTTTATAGTAAGAAACTAGTAGTGGTAAATTGATATTCCTTGAAATTTTTGTTGGTCTAACTAAGATCATCTGGAGAGTCATTAAAAAAGAAGATGAGGAGTCCCATAATAGGACGAAATGGCCATCCAGTGCTCCCAGTTTTTCCATGGTAGTCTAGCTTCAATTGACTGATGATTTCAATTATTAAAATAGTGAAATCTCCGCAAAACTCCTTCTGATAATAATCATATGCTCACTAGTGACTGACTTCATGATACATGTCCTGGAGTTCTAGTGAGAAGCAGTGATCAGTGGAGTTCAACTACGTCTGTTGTGAGATAACAACTCATTGAAGACAATTACTGAATGGTTGTTCAAACTTCGTGGATTCCTTGAAGTTCGACAGGCTCAGTTATCTATCGGTTAAGTGCTATGGCGCGAGACTGGTAGGCCCTGGGTTCAAATCTCACGAGGCCGGATAATGGGTGCGCACTGCTGAGGAGTCCTACTATAGGACGGAACGGCCATCCAGTGCTTCCATTGTTGTCTAACTTCAATTAACTGATGATTTCATTTATGAAGAAGATGATTCTTCAGCATTGTGAACACATGACCATACTTACTTACTTACTTACGCCTGTTACCCATCGTCGAGGAGCATAGGCCGCTCACCAGCATTCTCCATCCAACTCTGTCCTGAGCCTTCCTTTCCAGTTCTTTCCAGTTGCTATTCATCCTTTTCATATCGGCTTCTATTTCCCGGCGTAGTGTGTTCTTTGGCCTTCCGCTTTTCCGCTTCCCTTCCGGATTTCAAGTTAGGGATTGAGTCGTGATGCACATTGGTGATTTCCTTAATGTATGTCCGATCCACTTCCCACGTCTTTTCCTAATTTCCTCTTCAGCTGGAAGCTGGTTTGTCCTCTCCCATAAAACGCTGTTGCTGATAGTATCCGGCCAATGGATGTTGAGTATTTTGCGTAGACAACTGTTTATAAATACTTGTACCTTCCTGATGATGGCCGTAGTAGTTCTCCACGTTTCAGCTCCATACAGTAGGACTGTCTTGACGTTCGTATTAAAGATTCTGACCTTGAAATTGGTTGAGAGTTGTTTTGAGTTCCATATGTTCTGCAATTGTAGAAATGCTGCCCTTGCTTTGCCAATCCTTGCCTTTACATCTGCATCCGATCCTCCTTGTTTATCGACGATGCTCCCCAGGTACTTGAATGTTTCCACCTCTTCCAGAGTTTCGCCATCAAGTGTGATTGGGTCGGTGTTCTCCGTGTTGCATTTGAGAATCTTGCTTTTTCCTTTGTGAATGTGGAGGCCTATCGATGCGGAGGCTGCTGCTACATTTGCTGTCTTCATCTGCATTTGGTCGTGTGTATGAGAGAGGAGGGCTAGGTCATCTGCGAAGTCCAAATCATCTAATTGATTCTGAGAAGTCCATTGTATTCCGTATTTCCCTTCGGATGTCGAATTCATCATAATCCAGTCAATCACTAGAAGGAAGAGGAATGGGGAGAGTAGACAGCCTTGTCTGACTCCGGTCCTTACTGGAAATGCATCTGTCAGCTGTCCTCCATGCACCTCCATGACCATAATTGAATAATAATTAATAAAATCTTTAGATTTTATTGAGATCATCATATCCTTAATACATTAAAATTAGAATTCAATTAACACTTATTTAACAATTTAAATAGTTGATGTCGCATTGTTACCCCCTCCCCTTATTTAGTTTCATTAATGATGAACTGACATATTTCCTGTTTTTTTTTGTTTACTTGATATCTTATAAATTCCATTGAGAAGTTTGTAAAATTCATTATCAATTAAGTTTGTGACTTCAGATAATAACGAGGCAGTTCGCACAGGATGCATATATACCAACAAGAGACTGATCAATGGCAGTCCAAGTTAATAATGGGAAAATACAAGTAAACAACACCAATTAAATCTCATTACCTGATATTGTTGACTAACGAACTATTTTCTGAAAATTTTCAACCTTTTTGCGCAGAAATATTTTATATTACTAATTAATGTAAATATATAAATCATATTCCAGAATACCTAAAACTAAATAGCAATGTTTGTTACAAGGTAATTTGAATAAAAGTAACATCATTATAAGATGCAAATATCAGAACAATACAAATACAAACAATCACCTTGTTTACATGAATGAAATTTATCAGTGTATTTTATTTTCTAAATGTCGATATTTAGCGTTGAAGCTTTTGATCAGTCACTGTGAGTATGTAAGATCTCTTGGCAAAAGTTAAAATATGTATTACTTGGAGTTAAAAGTTTGCTTAACTTTTTTAAACAACACTTACTTGCTTACGCCTGTTACCCCACATAGAGAAGCATAGGCCGCACACCAGTTTTCTCCTGTCCTAGGCTACCCGTCCAAGTTCTTTCCAGTTAACATTCATCCTTTTCATATCTGCTTTTATTTTTCGTTGTATTGTGTTATTTGACCTTCCACTTTACCGCTTCCCTTCCGGTTTCCAAGTTGGGGCTTGCTTCGTGAAGCAGTTTGTTTCGAACAACAGCTAGCAAATAAATATAGGCTATAGATTTTACCATATTTAGGATTCGTCAGATGAAACTACCTTAAATCTAGTGCTCCAGATTACAGTTATACTTGAATATAAAACCTGATGTGTTATTTACTAAGTTACCATTTCATGATGTCCACTGACTTGCTTAATGAGTATATATGGTTTATCATCATTCATAAGAAAAGAAGACCAGTTAAGTTCTTAATGTCAAATGTTTCTGAATGATTTTATGTTCCAATTTTAGTAAATAGGTTGTAAATATTGTGACTCAATTGATTAAGCATTAGATACTCGTATTTGAAGCTTTTGTTTCTGCCATGCTGTTAAGATAAAAATTAAAGCGTTCATTGATTCTTACTTTGTCTGTAATGTAACTGATATATATATATATATATATATATATTGATTAAATGATTGACTAGTAACGCTGAAAAAGCTTTCAGAAATAGATGAAGTAGAAGAAAATGAATGAAGCTCGTAGAATTAAACAGATTGAAGAAGCCTCTATATAACTGCCGTCAAGACAGCTTAGATTTGAAAAATATTATTCAATTACTTATAAAAATTCTTCAGTATCCAATAGCTATGTTCATGAACATCAGTGGTTCCAATTCACACTTAACTTGTTGCATTATTAATAATTTTGAGACAAAGACAAACATTCTAAATCTTCATCTGGACATTCAAAAGACTTATTTTGTTAATCCACTCGTTAGCTATTTACTTCATTCTGTATCTAGGTAATGATTTTTTATTTACTCAGTTTATTGATTTTTATACAATATTAAATAACATTTTGATTAGATCTTTCTGTTTGCTAAGCTGATTAAATCAGTTAGTTAAAATGCACTGAACGAGAACTCGGATAGGGAAAACTAATTTATTGTTATGAGGACAACCACAAAGTTTGCACAACTTGTTTGCGTTGTCCTTTACATACTTCATTATTCCTCGAATTATGTTGTTCGTTTGATTCTTCTCCGATTTCTCTTCTGTTTTCTTCCGTGTAATCTTCTGCTATCAGGTATTCCACTTCTGATTGGTGTTACATACTATTTATATTTGTCAGAATACGTAGCATACACCGTAAACTTGTTATCGCTTACCTATGTATTACAAAGACAATTATACATAGATGAATCACTTGGAGAATGGAGTGAATCACAATTGCATGAAATTGTACTTTGAGAACAAAATTCAAGAAAGAATTTCGAATCATCATGAAAATGTAATTTATGACCTTGTTCTGAACAATGAAGCTCCGACATAAAATAATTCTACCACATTAAAATCGAAACCTGTACCAAGTTTCTGATAACAATTATAATAATAACGAATTTATTTAATAATATAGATTTCGTTACACTCATCAATTATCAGTATCAGTGGTATAACATTATCATAAATGCATCTTCGTCATGTGGGATATGTAGACATTGTTGGATTTTTTACAAATTACATTGTGTACTGGTCCTAGTTCGATAACCAATGAAAACTTTAAAAAAAACTGGAAGGCTATTTTGTTCTTGTATGAGACTCTTTAATAGTCACTGTCGGCAGTCCCACTAGGGATCTGGTGGTATTTCACAAATCCCTTTCAACCGTATCCGTACTGAAATATAATATAGTTGGGATATAATATTAAATTATAAAACGTGGTGACTAAAGAAGTGGCAATGAAATTATCAGTAATATATATATAAACCATGTGTAAGACCATTTGTATTGTTTGTTTGAATCTTCCTAGTGTTGCAATTGTTCAGTCTCTTATTAGCATATATGCATTCCGTGCAGATCACATCAATATTCTCTTATGTCACAACGTTTATCAGCAGAGATGAATCGTAGCTAGCAGTGAAATCAAAGACGCACGCTTCGTCCTATTTTGGACTTATAAGCGAAATCTTCCTGCATCCAAGAGTTGATACTCACTTCCAGAAGTGAAGTATTTAAATTACTCCACATGTGGTTCTATCTGAAGTTTGTGCTGATGATGTCGTTCAGAAGGACGATGAAAGCTCCACGACCAACCCATCCAGCTCAAAGAACAAAACTCCATCAAAAAAATATTACAATTGTTTTTTTAAATTATTTTTATTACTAAATGTTATCTTTCATGTAATTTCTTATATACGTGTTATGACTTGTTTGAACTTTTAATCATGAGTATCATGAATGAAATGCATATGTTCATGTGATAATTGATAGTCATGAAAGCCTGTTTGAAACTTTGAATTGATCAATTTTAGAACGTGCCTTTATTGACACAAACAGATTTACATTATATTTTTTTTCAGTTATTTAAATATGAATTCTTTTCCAGTATACAATATATTGTGAAGGTAACTACTGAAGTATTTCAACAAGTTTCCTCTTCCTATTTCTTGATCGAACCTTACAATAAATATTGAGTGATCGCCAGTTAGATGTCAGCAGTTCCAGAATCGACATTTGAATAATGTATATTCTTTTCAATGCATATAACCAGAAACCACAATATCTCTGATTGGGCACTTTTGTAACTTGTACAGAGAAACGTCGTAAACATTTCACAAACGCACCTGAATAGATTATGAGACTAATAGGCATAATAATGTGTTAAAACAAACAAGAAAACAAATAACTTATTGAAATATCTACATGGTAGGAACAGATAACCTAAATGTTTAAGCATACTGCTGATTATTATCAAATAAATATAAATTGTTTCTAAATTTTCAAATGTGCTACAAGTCTAATAAACACTCACGTACCTGGGAAGCATAATTGATAAACAACGAGGATCGGATGCAAATGTGAAGGTAAAGATCGGCAAATCAAAGACCAAATTTCTTCAATTGCAGAACATATGGAACTCAAAACAACTCTCAACTTATTTCAAAGTCACAATCTTCAATACGAACGTCAAGACAGTCAGTCCTACTGCACAGACCTGAAACGTGGAGAACTACTACATCCATCGTCAAGAAGGTACAAGTATTTATAAACAGTTGTCTACGCAAAATACTCAACATCCATTGGCCGGATACTTTCAGCAACAGCGTTTTGCGGGAGAGGACATATAAGCTTCCATCTGAAGAGGAAATTAGGAAAAGACGTTGGAAGTGGATAGGACATACATTGAGGAAATCACCAATGTGCATTACAAGGCAATCCTTAACTTGAAATCCGGAAGGGAAACGGAAAAGAGGAAGGCCAAAGAGCACATTACACCGGAAAATAGAAGCAACAGTGTAGGGCTTAAATTCCTCGACGAGGGTTAAACTGCGTAAGTAAGTAAGCTACTGATCACGTTTTACAATATCAACTATTAAAATGATTAAGTTAAAATATTTTTTAACGTGTTAATTATTCGAAATAAAATTTAACATCCTTAACATTAAAAATGAAATTTACGTCATTATCAATTATCATAATTGTAATAGTTGAGATCATGAATCCATTGAAGCTGGACCACCATGGAAAACTTTGAAGCACTGGACGATCGTTTCGTTCTCTTGTGGGATTCCACAACAGTGCTCATCCCTGATCACGCCTAGCGAGATCTGAACCTTGAACCTATCAGTCTCGTGCCGGCTAATTGGTCTATTGGTTAAGCGCATGCGCGCGAGACTGATAGGTCCGAGGTTCGAATCTCGCTAGGCGGGATCGTGAGTGAGCACTGCCGAAAAGTCCCACAATAGAACGAAAAGGCCGTCCAGTGCTTCCAGGTTTTCCATGGTAGTCTACCTTCAGTGGATTTATGATCTCAACTATTAAAATTACTATAACATCAACAAAGGAAACATTGACAAGGAAAATTTAATTTTTTTAATTTCTTCTATTCAGATCAATCAACTAAATATCAACTTGTGAACAATAGATTTATATAATAAAGAAAACTATGTTGTCAGTTGGACAGACTAAAACTAAAAAACCAATTCATCGGTCAAGATCATTGAAAAATGAAAAACATTCAAAGATTTTTAATGAATCTGATAAAAATAATCATGACAATGTACATATATCTAAAAGAACATCAAAATCTGTTACTAGATTACCTTATCGATCAAGAAATTATCAATTGAATGAAATACAATTTCAATCAAATTTACATTGTACTAATGATACAAAACAAAATAATCATGATGAACTACAGTTTTCGGAGTCAGTTACACCGCTTTCAATAATCACTTCTACGACAACTATTACATCACCTTTATATTATTCAAAATTTCGTAATCATAAATTATTTACATGTGAAAAAATGGAAGGTGGTACTTTATCGTCAGGATCATCGCTATTATTATCGTCATCATCATCATCATCATCATCATCAACAACCACCACAACAACAACACCATCACCGAAATTATATTCATCTAATGGATATTTCTTTACACCAAATCCAATATTATGTAATAATGAACATCTTAATTTATCTATAAAAGATAGTTTACAACTTGATTCTTCAAATGATATCGTTAATAATAGTGAATGTGTAGGTAGTTCATCAGTAATCCATAATATTAAATCAATCTTCAATCGGTTTGTTGATAGCTTACGTAATAGGAATAATTTTATCCTTAGTAACAGTATCAGTAATAGTAATAATAGTGGTAATAGTAATAATAACCATCGTAATATTTCAAATACAGTTAAAATTAATGCAAACTGTGATAAAATATCAACAGACAAATTGAATAGATTACAAATACCATGGTTGACAAAATTCACTACTCAAGAGCAAAATCGTGTTCAACAAGCGTATACACCAACTTCAACTTTTATTACCGATGGTGCTTCTATTGGTATGACTAGTGTTAATTGTACTGATGTGATTGGAAAACATAGAAAACCGAATTCTTTTAACAGACCAAAAGAAGACCGAATCCAGGATAGCATAATCGTGCATGAACAAAATAATGAAATATGCAATAAACAACACCTTATTATTGGTACGTTCGAACCCTGTTTTTAGTTGTATACACGAGTACATTATGTTTTTTTCAACCATTCATGTATATGATAAATTATTTTTAAATATGACTCAATTAAACTTTTATGTCTTATAAGATTGAGTAATAGCATTGAATAGATTATGTTCCCAGATCTGTAAAAAATTTACCATAGTGGCTTTGGATGGACAGGAGAAGTCTAGGAACACATGTGAAAATATTGTACTTGAATTACAAACAACTCACTTAGTTACTTACTTACGCCTGTTACCCCTCGTCAAGGAGCATAGGCCGCGCACCAGCATTCTCCATCCAACTCTATCCTGGGCAATCCTTCCCAGTTTTTTCCAGTTAACATTCATCCTTTTCATATCTGCTTCTATTTCCCGACGTAATTTGTTCTTTGACCTTCCTCTTTTCCGCTTCTCCATCACCATTTCAAGTTAGGGATTGCCTCGTGATGCTGTTCTGGTGTTTTCCTCAATGTATGTCCTATCCACTTCCAACGTCTTTTCCTAATTTACTCTTTAGATGAAAGCTTATATGTCCTCTCCCGCAAAACGCTGTTCCTGAAAGTATCCGGCCAATGGATGTTGAGTATTTTGGGTAGACAACTGTTTATAAATACTTGTACCTTCTTGACGATGAATGTAGTAGTTCTCCACGTTTCAGGTCTGTGCAGTAGGACTGACTGTCTTGACGTTCGTATTGAAGATTGTGACTTTGAAATAAGTTGAGAGTTGTTTTGAGTTCCATATGTTCTGGAATTGAAGAAATGCAATCCTTGTTTTGTCAATCCTCCCCTTTACATCTGCATTCGATCCTCCTTGTTCATCAATGATACTTTCTAGGTACGTGAATGTTTCAACCACTTCCAAAGTTTCGCCATCAAGTGTGACTAGGTTGATGTTTTCCGTGCTTTATTTGAGAATCTTGCTTTTTCCTTTGTGTATTTTGAGTCCTATTGATGCAGAGGATTACAAACAAAGTGCATGATAATTTATAAACCAATTATTATTATTTTATCCGAACACCTTACATATTGCCTTAAACGTTCTTTACAATAATGACAAGCTGAAGAACACGGTAATTAAATTTTCTAAACATTGAGTACACTAATTACTGTAAAATGACATGTTGTATTATTCAATCCAATCTTTCATTAAAACAATTAGTTCAGTACTTACTTTACGTACTTACTTACTCCTGTATGGAGCATAGGCCGCCGACCATCATTCTCCAACGCACTCTGTCCCGGCCTTTTTTTTCTAGTTCTATCCATTTTTTGTTCATTATTCTCATGTCTGTCTCCATTTCTCGGCGTAATGGTTCTTGGGTCTTCTGCTTCTCCTTTGGCCTTCAGGATTCTATGTGAGGGCTTGTCTTGTGACGCTATTGAGTGATTTCCTCAAAGTGTGCCCAACGTACTTCCAGCGCTTCTTCCTGATATCTTCCTCCGCTGGAAGTGGTAATATTTAATTGTGACCAGGGGTACTGGTGAACTTAATAATTCTAAGGTACGTAAGAATTTCGAATTTTCAATATATAACTGCTTACAAAGAATTCAAAACTTCTTGTTCTTTTTGTCAAAAAAAATAGGACAATGTTTGTTAAAAACTACTAAAAAGCCTATTTAAAAAGTCATGCATACTCAAACTTCCTTTTCAGTTGACAGATAAATCACATTACTCTTCAATTATGATATATAAATGTTTACCAAAGAAAACTGAATTCAATTAGTGGGTCAGTAGTACAGAAACTTTCTTAGACTTGATCATATGATCTTTAATGAGAATAATCAATATTGTTTCAAAAAAAAACATGTCATACTTTATGGAAGTTACATGGAAACTTAAAAATGTTCGTTTTTAGAAACAGACTAAAATTTTATGGTTGAAATAATGAGTCAATTGAAGCTAGACCATCATGGAAAACTTGGAAGCACCAGACGGCCGTTTTGTCACATTTTAGGACTCCTCAGCAGTGCCCATCCACGATTTTGCCTCACGAGTTTCGAACCCAAGATCTATCAGTATAGTTCGCAAACGCTTAAGCACTAGCTTCAATTGACTCATGGTTTCAGCTATTAAATCACTGAAATCTCCAAAAAACTAAGGCTGAAGTGGTCTATAATATTATACTTTGGTTATTTTTCGGTTCTATTAATAGCTAAATGATGCATGTGAAAATGTAATTTTCATAAGAGATTTAATTTTCAGATCTTAATATTGACTAATATTAGGCTTTTTATCTGACTTGTTGATCTGCGCTTCTCTGATATCGTTCATAATGGACAGATACAGATTACTTCCGTTGCTTCAGATGAATTCCTTGGTAAAAAAATCATTAATATCCAGAATTCATTCACTTCAAAAACGTAAAAAGAGACTAGTTTTTAAGGGCTCTGGCTCGAGACTGGTAGGTCCTGGGTTCGAATCTCGCGAGTGCGGGATCATGGATGCGCACTGCTGAGGAGTTCCATAATAAGACGAAACGGCCGTCCATTGCTTTAAGGTTTTCGATGGTGGTCTTTCTTCAATTGACTTATGATTTCAACTTTGAAAAATATATTATGCTTAATGAACAAATTATTTATCTTCCTAACAATCGTATGCGCAGTAGTGACTTGTTTTTAAATGTATTTCTATAATTTTCATTGACATACCATGGTCTGTGGAATGAATAAAGTCAAGAGAAAGACGGTTACCAGTTGATCGAACTAAATGTAGTTTGTATTATGCTATAATTTAACTAAAGTTCAAAATGTGAACCCTCAAACTCCTACTCACGGGTATAAGTACGTGATACTTACCGTGATGGATAAAAGCTACACGTACTTTTTTTCATATAAAGTCGTAGATGAGTTTTTTTTTGTTAATGAGGTTCAGTTTAGGACAAAACAACTATTCAATAACTATACACTTTTGTTATTCTTTCACAAGAAAATGATCTTAATAGTCATATTTACTGTACATTATAAAAATTAATTCGTTTTACTAAAGAACTACAATACGATTCTAAATATGGAAGCTATAAACACTCAATTGCTGTGTTCATCATGTGGTATATTTTCATAATATCATGTGACCACATTCAACAAAATGCATAATTTTGGTTCATTGTTCTAAGAATCAAAAAGCTTATGTTTACTTAAAAACTTACTACTATTCAGTACTGATCTAAATTGTACAGTACACACTAAGAACTTTCACAATAATTTTAGATTGATAAAAGAAGATAAATAGATAAGATATATCTAAACAGCATGAGTCATTTGGAGCTAGACCACCATGAAAAACCTTGAAACACTAGGCAAATTTATTGAAGCTAGGCATTAACACCGTTTGATGCATGCTCAGTGGTCTAGAGGTTTGTAGTAGGCATCAAGTCGAGGATAGACTATGATCACTACTACAATACGATTACATGCCCAGAAACTACTTGATTCCTTTGATAACTCGCAAACCAGAAGGCTTTAATTAGTTCAGATAAAGTATATTTATTGGCGATTTCGTGGTATCGAAAGAATACCGAGACGTGCCAACGAGTACAGGCAAAATGGGCAAAGCGTAAGAAAGTTCGAACAGAACCAGGCGGATAGCGGAACCAGAAGTGAGTCTGATACAGTTAAACAAGTACAGTAAAACAATTGCTGGTACAATTGGTTACAATAATAATAATTGTTTCTATTATTCCAATCGTGTTCTTATCGAGACAGGCTGGTCACTACAGGTTAAGCGTTTATGCGCGAGACCGATGAGTCCCGGGTTCGAGTCCCGTGGAGAGGAATCGTGGGTACTCACTTATCAAGAGTCCCAAATCCACCTAGTGATTCCAGGTTTTTCATGGTGGTTTAGCTTCAATTGACTCATAATCTCAACTATTAAATTATTTATTTTGTCCATCTAACTTAACTATAAATAAGATGAATCAAACGACAACATATACTGAAAAAAATGCAACCTATGGAATACATTTATACATAGAATTGGTTTATTGATCTTATCTTAAGTAATGTTCCATATACAATTATTGTTTACACACTGAACGGTCTTTTTATTGCTTTAGAAAATACATATGATTCTTTTCAAAAAAAGACATTTTTACTTTGACGAATGAACTTCTGAAGAACTATTAGTATTACAAGCAAAAGTAAAAGTCTAGGTAAACATTTTGAAGAACCTGGAGGAGTGAGTTTGTTTAAATTATGTTTCTATTAGATTTAAATGCAACTAAAATTTATTAGATGGCTATAAGTCATAGTTTATAGTTCGCATTAACGAACTGGGTTTATTTTGACAGCTAATGAAAACCGAGAAACACTTGATACATGTTTCATCCTTGTATGAGACTAATCATGATTGAGAAACTATGATCAGTGAATCCAACCATGTCTCATGTGAGGCAGTTACCTACCAGTAAAATAGGAAGATGTTTGAGCATTATTAAGAATTGAACGATGTTGAAATTGTATACAGGAGTAAGTGCTCTTAAGATTAAGACCTCATTTTGGAAGCAATTGAGTTTAATCTCTTAATGGTTTGTTGACGTGCACTACTAAGAAATTTTAGAATAGGATTAGATTGTAGTCCAGTTCATCTCAATTTTTAAATGGGTTTGTCACAAAGATTAGTCTTTTATGAAAACATAAAATTCCACATTCTCTACAATCATTCTATTGTAATTCTGATTTTATCATACCATAATTTGTAGTAAATTTATTCCAAGCTATGACTATCTATTTCATACAACTTTTAAAACGATCTGGAATGTTGGAGAATATATTAGAAAAACATTGAAAGCTGACAATCTATGATTTTATTAGTTCCCTTTTTTATTGATTATTATTGTTATTTAAAATAATGAAAATTCAGTTAATCATCTTTTTAAATGGGTAACGTTCTTAATCAACACTCGGCTTTTTTTGTGTGATTCGAACCATGTTTAGTTAAACCAGAATATTTTTATCAATACTAGTCAACTAGGCATGTTAGTTGGTT